TGTTCTTAAAGTTCACAGAACGGTTGATTAATTATTGTAGATTTCATTTTGCATTAATCGTTTGACAGGTCGGTTTTGTCAAATTATATAAATAAAAAAACTTGTATAAAATATTGTTACATTGATCATATTATCTAAAATTGTTATCAACTGGAGATAGGAGAGAATTTGCGTTCCACCTGCAAATTATCCTTTTTACATAACGATAAATACGATATCCGTTCAGAATATAAAACGGAGCACAGTACAATGTAGATCTAGATGTAAACCGATTACAAATCTGTGGCACAATCATTTCCTTTTACAGTATTTCCATATTTTTTCATTTGACAAAAAAAACGAAAAAGGGAACAATAGACTGATCAAAAATAGTCAATTTACATTTGACAAAAAACGAGAAAGGGAACAATGACCCCATCAAAAATTTAGTCAAATAGATTTTCGTATATAATTAGGCTAAAAAGCAATTGGGCTATATGTTCACGTTAAAACAACTTATCATTCGAATTTTGATTTTTCAATACCAATACATACGTATTTTATAAACATGGATAACGACCTTAATCAAAACCATTTAAGTAATAGTTTGTTAAATTTGCTTAAAAGTTCTGAAGGTTTTGATACAAAAGTTATAGTTGGTGAAGAACCAAATATTAAGGAATTTAAAGCACATTCAGTTATCTTATCGTCAAGGTCTGCTTACTTTAAAAATGCATTATCATCCCGGTGGGCAAAGAGAGAAAATGGAATAATCATTTTCAATAAGCCTAATATTTCGTCATTGGTATTTGAAGTTCTTATAAAGTAAGTGTTATTTATATATATGTATATATTATAATAACAAAAAGATTATGATACGAATTTAAAATCGTGATTTATTTTCCATAAAATGAATAGTTATATTTATACAGGAATATTTACTGTTGGAAATAATTTTAGCCTTGTTGACATTTTTATTTCTGCTGATGAGATTGAATTACTTGAACTTTGTAAACAACTTAAGAAACGTTTGCTTGAAACTGAATCAGCGTGGAAATTTCCGAAAGATTTTATTACATTATGTCAACATAATGATACTGATTTATATAATGTTGCATTTGATCTTGTGTGTAAAAATCCCAAAATTGTGTTTGAATCAGAAGAATTCTTAAAAATGGATGAAAACCATCTAATCCTTTTGTTGAAAAGTGACGACCTTCGACTAGATGAAATTGAAGTTTGGGAATATTTAATTAAATGGGGAATCAAAAATACTGATTCGATTTTAACTGATGATTTAGCTAAATGGAATCGAACAGATTTTGTGGACCTTGAAAAAACTATACATAATTGTATTCCTCACATTAGATTTTTCCAAATGTCACTTTATGAGCTTCGCTTAATTATGACTCGATATAAAGACATTCTTCCAGATCTTTCTGATGAGGTTTTCCGTAACTTAGATCCTAGGCACGATCTTTTACAAAAAAGAGTATCTGCATATCCTTTTGATTCTAAAATTATTAACGCTAAGGACGCGGCATTAATAGCGAGTTGGATTGATAACAAACAAAAAACACCTTATTGTTTTAAGGATATACCTTTTAAATTCAATCTTATTTATCGTGCAAGCCAAGAAAATTTTAGTATTAGTAAGTTTCATGACAAATGTGATAATAAGGGACCAACTGTGGTTATAATTAAAGTCCTAAATTCAGAGGAAATAATTGGCGGATATAATCCGTTAGATTGGCGTAGTAACGTAGAATTAACAAACAATAGAGATTGGTTACCGTCTAATGGTTATAATAATAATTATAGGTGTAAAACATCAAAGAGTTTTATATTTTCATTACTTTCATTTTCAAATGGAGCAATTCCCCGATTAAGTCGTGTCTCTACTAAAAACGAAGCAATCATTAGGTGCAATGATAAAGGGCCGTGCTTTGGCTTACAAGATTTGTGGATACAAAATAACTCTTCACGAAGATCTGCTAGTGGTATAAGCAAGCAACACTCTTATGAAATGGGAATTATTGATAAAGATACTTTTGAAATAGAAGAATATGAAGTGTTTCAAATTATTGATAAGAGATTCTCATCTATAATGATTCAATTTATTAAAGGATTCTTATTTAGAATGATTCAATTTTTTAAGAACCTTATATTTGGAATGATACATTTCTTTAATCATTTAAGCATTACTGGATATACTATTCTATTTTATTGTTTTGTGTCATTCTTATTATTTTTGCTGATGTTTTTGATATTTAGATATCACAATGGTAGTGTTATAATGAAAATTTTTATAGCTTCATTTACATCTATTCTTGTTATTAAAGCTTTTCAACCGCTCCTTCATATATTACTAAAACAAAGACAGCGACGTTTTGTATACTTGGACCCTTATTAGATCTTACGCTTAAAATTAGACTCAAATAGTATTTGAATTTTATAGATTATTATTAATTATTACAGTTAGTGGCTTAACGTCAATATTTTGAGCTTAGGCTCGAGGGAATGTAAAATTTAAAAAACATATATTTCACAGAATATTTGATTAAATCTAATTATTAAGATTACTCTGTGTTGTGATTGGCCTATTTAATTTCGGAGGACAGCTTACCTAGGGGAGGATGAACAGTAAATAACTATTCCCTAATTTTTGTAATCTGTTAAAAGAAAAGCACGATCGAAAAGAGTGATACACCTGCAAATGTATGATCAGTATTAAGCCTTTGTGGCTTATGAATCGTAATTGCCCAAGCAAGGCATAAAGGAATCTGTTATGCGAAGCAAATTTCGAGTTTTACTGAAGTATATACAATGAGTTGAATTGGTATTATAGATGCAAACATATGTTAGTGCCGTGCAGACATATTTACATAATAGGTCATAATTAGGTCGTAACTTACTTAAAAAATAATTTTTATCTGTTATATGAGTGATGCCAAGGCAAAACCCGTAAGCAAATTTTGAGGTAGGGAAAATTGTATTAAATCATTGTATACAATCAGTGTTCTAGTTGTCCTTATTGATGCCTAAATATTTGCTTACAGGTTTTGCATTGGCATCACTCATATTGTTACGACCTTATTACGTAAATATGCCTGCACCTCTGTAACTGGTCTTAACGTAACTCAAAAACATTACGATATGTC